AACCTAGCTTGAGAGGCCAACATTTAAATTCAGGAAATGCAGAGAACCTTTGCAAAATACTTCACAAGAAGCATCCCCAAGACACATAATTATCACATTCTCCAAGGTCACATGAAAGAAAAAAATGTCAAAGACAGCTAGAGAGAAAGGGCAGGTCACTTATAAAGGGGTGCCCATCAGACTAACGATGGACCTCTCAGCAGAAGTCTTACAAGCCAGAAGAAATTGAGGGCCTTTATTCAACATTCTTTTTTTTTTTTCGAGATAGATTCTTGCTCTGTCACCCAGGCTGGAGTGCAGTGGCACGATCTTGGCTCACTGCAAGCTCCGCCTCCTGGGTTCACGCCATTCTCCTGCCTCAGCCTCCTGAATAGCTGGGACCACAGGGGCCCCCCACCATGCCCGGCTAATTTTTTGTACTTTTAGTAGAGATGGGGTTTCACCATATTAACTAGGATGGTCTTGATCTCCTGACTTCATGATCCACATTCCAGCAAAGAATTTCATATCTGGCTAAACTAAGCTTCATAAGCAAAGGAGAAATAAGATCCTATTCAGACTAGCAAATGTTGAGAGAATTTATTACTACCAGATCTTCCTTACAAGAGCTTCTCAAACAGGCACTGTATATGGAAACAAAAGACTGTTACCAGGTACTACCAAAACACACTTAACTACACAGACCAGTGACATTTTAAAGTAACCACACAAACAAGTTGACATGATAACCACCTAACACCATGATGACAGGATCAAATTCACACATATCAATATTAACCTTGAATGTAATCAGGCTAAAGGCCAATTAAAAGGCACAGCATGATAAGCTGGATAAAGAAGCAAGACCTAATGGTATATTGTCTTCAAGAGACCCATCTCATATGCAATGAATGACATCCATAGGCTCAAAATGAAGGTATGAAGAAAAATCTACAAAGCAAATGGAAAACAGAAAAAAGCAGGGGTTGCAATCTTAATTTCAGAACAAAAAAGGATTTAAAACCAAAAAAAGATTTTAAAAAAGATAAAGAAGGTCACTGTATAATGGTAAAGGGTTAAATTCAACAAGAAGAGCTAACTATCCTAAATATATCTGCACCCAACATGGGACCACCCAGATTCATAAAGCAAATTCTTAGAGACCTTCAAAGAGACTTAGATTCCCACACAATAATAGTGGGAGACTTCAATACCCCACTGACAGTATTAGATTATAGAAGCAGAAAATTGCCAAAGGTATTCAGGACCTCAACTCAACACTGGACCAAAAAGACTTTATAGAAATCTACAGAACTCTGTACTCAAAATACAACAGAATGTACATTCTTCTCCTTGCCACATGGCACATACTCTGAAACTGACCACACAATTGGACATAAAACAGTCCTCAGCAAATGCAAAGGAAGTGAAATTATACCAACTACCCTCTTGGACAATGGCACAATAAAAATAGAAATTAAGAATAAGAAAATTACTCAACACCATAAAATTACATGGAAATTTAACAACCTGTTCCTGAATGACTTTTGGATAAATAATGAAATTAAGGCAAAAAAATCAAGAAGTTTTTTGAAACGAATGAGACCAAAGATACAACATACGAGAATATCCGGGACACAGCTAAGGCAGTGTTAAGAAGAAAACTTATAGTACTAAATGCCCACATCGAAAATTAGAAACATCTTAAATTAATAACCTAATATCACAACTAAAAGAACTAGAGAAGCAAGAACTAACCAACCCCAAGCTAGCAGAAGACAAGAAATAACCAAAATCAGAGCTGAATTGAATGATTGAGACACAAAAAAATGCAAAAGATCAATGAGTCCAGAAGCTGTTTGTTTTAAATTAATAAGATAGACCACTAGCCAGACTAATTAAGAAGAAAAAAGAGAAGATCCAAATAAACATACTTAGAAATAACAAAGGGAATAGTACCACTGACCCCACAGAAATACAAATAATCATCAGAGACTGCTATGAACACTTCTATGCACATAAGCTAGAAAATCTAGAAGAAATAGATAAATTCCTGGACACATACACTCTCCCAAGGCTGAACCAGGAAGAAATTGAATACCTGAACAGACCAATACTGAAATTGAAACAGTAATAAGTAGCCTACTAACAAAAAAGGCCCAGGACCAGGTCCATTCACAGCCAAATTCTACCAGATGCACAAAGAAATGTTGGTACGATTCCTACTGAAACTATTCCAAAAAATTGAGAAGGAGGAACTCCTCCCCAGCTCATTCTATGGGGCATTATTCTGATACCAAAACCTGGTAGAGACACAACAACAAAATAAACAAAACTTCAGGCCAATATCCTTTATGAACACTGAAGCAAAAATCCTCAGGAAACTACTTGCAAACTGAATCCAGCAGCACATCACAAAGGTAATCCATCATGATCAAGTAGGCTTTATCCCTGGGATGCAAGGTTGATTCAACATACAGAAATCAGTAAACATGATTCATCACATAAAGAGAAATAAATTAAAAAAAGGGTCATTTCAATAGATGCAGAAAAGGCTTTCAACAAAAGTAAAATCTCATGTTAAAAACTCTCAATAAACTAGGTATTAAAAGAATATACCTCAAAATAATAAGAGCCGTCTATGACAAACCCTTAGCCAATATCATACTGAATGAGCAAAACCAGGAAGCATTCCCTTTGAAAACTGGCAGAAGACAAGGATGCCCTCTTTCACTACTCCTCTTCAACATAGTATTAGAAGTCTTGACCAGGGCAATCAGGCAAGAGAAAGAGATAAAGGACATCCAAATAGGAAGAGAGGAAGTCAAATATTTTTGTTTGCCAATGACAGGATTTAATATCTAGAAAATTCCAGCATCTTAGCCTAAAACCTCTTTCAGCTGATAAACAACTTCAGCAAGGTCTCAAGATACAGAATCAAGTGCAGTAATCACTAGCATTCTTATATACCAACAACAGACAAGACAAAAGCCAAATCAGGAATTCTTTCCCATTCACAATTGCCACAAAAAGAATAAAATACCTAGGAATACAGCTAACCAGGGAGCTGAATGATCTCTACAATGAGAATTATGAAACACTGCTCAAAGAAATCAGAAATGAAACAAACAAATGGAAAAACATTCCATGCTCATGGATAGGAAGAATCAATATCATTAAAATAACCATACTGTCCAAAGCAATTTACAGATTCAATGCTATTCCTATCAAACTCCCAATGACATTTTTCACAGAACCAGAAAAAACTATTTTAAAATTCATATGTAAAGAGCCCAAATAGTCAAGGAAATTCTAAGAAATCCTAAGCAAAAAGCAGGAGGGATCTTGCTACCCAATTTCAAATATTCTATAGGGCTACAGTGATTAAAAAAAAAAAAAAAAAAACATGCTACTGGTAAAAAAGAGACACATAGACCAATGGAACAGAATAGAGAGCCCAGAAATAAGGCCACACACCTACAACCATCTGATCTTTGACAAAGCTGACAAAAACAAGCAATGGGGAAAAGATTCCATATTCAAAAAATGGTGCTGGGATAATTGGCTAGCCATATACAGAAGACTGAAACTAAAAACTGGACCCCTTCCTTACACCACATACAAAAATCATCTCAAGAGGGGCTAAAGACTTAAATGTAAAACCAAAACTGTATAATCCCTGGAAGACAACATAGGCAACACCATTCTGGACACAGGAATGAGCAAAGATTTCATGACGAAGATGCCAAGAGCAATTGTAACAAAAGCAAAAATTGGTAAGAAGGTTCTAAGAAAACTAAAGAGCTTCTGCAGAGTAAAAGGATCTATCAACAGAGTAAACAGACAACCTACAGAATGGGAGGATATTTTTGCAAAGTATGATCTGAGAAAAGTCTAATATCCAGCATTTGTAAAGAACTTAAACAAATTTAAAAGAAAAAAAAAAAACATTAAAAAGTGGGCAGAGGACATGAACAGACACTTTTCAAAAGACGACATACATGCAGCCAACAAGCATATGAAAAAAAGCTCAGTATCACTGATCATTAGAGAAATGCAAATCAAAACCACAATGAGATACCATCTCACACCAGTCAGAATGGCTATTACTAAAAAGTCAAAAAATAACAGATGCTGGCTTATACACTTTTGGTGGGAGTGTAAAATAGTTCAACAATTGTGGAAAGCGGTGTGGCAATCCCTCAAAGAGCTAAAAAAAGAACTACCATTCAACCCACCAATCCCATTACTGGGTGTTTATCCAAAGGAATATAAATTGCTCTATCATAAAGGCACATGCATATGTATGCTCATTGCAGCACTATTTGTGATCGCAAAGTCATGGAATCAACCTAATTGCCCATTAGTGGTAGTCTAGATAATGAAAATGTGGCATATATACACCATGGAATAATATGCAGCCATAAAAAAGGATTAGATCATGTCCTTTACAGGAACATGGATGGAACTGGAGGCCAGTATCCTTAGCAAACTAATGCAGGATCAGAAAAGCATATACCACATGTCTGCACTTATAAGTGGGAGTTAAATAATGAGAATGCATGGACACAAAGAGAGGAACAACAGGCACTGGGGCCTACTTGAGGGTGGAGGGTAGAGGGTAGGAGGAAGGAGAAGAGCACAAAAAATAAATATTGGGTATTATGCTTAGTGCTGGGGTGACAAAATAATCTATACAATAAACCCTCATGACACTGGTTTATCTATATAACAAACCTGCACATGTACCCCGATCCTAAGAGTTAAAAACATATATATATAAAAGATATATAAATATATGCAATATATATGAAGAAATAGAGTCAATATAAAAGTAATTATATAAAATTACACTTAATATTTAATATTTTCTTATAATATTGCTTAATTTCAAATTAAGATTAATTTGTGATATCAATCATTTTTAGACAATCAATAAGACCAATTCTGATTATCTGAACTTTCTGATTGTTTGGATTTTGACCAAATGTGGGTTTATCACCCTTAATACTCATGTTTTAGAAGCAAATTTAGTTGATTACAAAAACTATCATAGTCTAGAGATAGCCATAGGCAAGGCTGAGTGACAGAGGGACTAAAGGAGGTTCCTGGATCTTTCTTTGGGCTTCAGATGTGACTGTAGAGAGCTCTTCCTGGGGAAAGCTGATGGGACCTGGGCAAGGATCCCAGCCCTCTGCTGGCCTCATAGGCTGAGTGACTGATTTAGAGTGCTTGGGGTCAGTATGAATTAGAGAGATTCAACTCATCTATTTGCTGATCCAGCTCATCTATTGGCTCTATAGTGATGTGTATATTACTGACTTTTCTCAGTTTTACATGAGGCCCATTGAAGGCCTGTCCTGAAGTTCTGCCTTCAACAGTGCTAGTGTCATAACCACCATGGAGAAGTTGAAGGTAGCATAGAGGTGAGTCTTCTCTGTATGAATTTTCTTCCCTGTCCCCACTTTGAACATCTGGTTGAATTAGTGAAATGTTGGGTGTGAAGCAAGTGCCCCACCTTAACTCCTGGCTTTAATTGCATTATTACCATTAATTTATCCTACTTTATTATAGTAGATAGCTTCAAAATTGTGTTCCTAGCACAATCACTTTATTTGGTAAATCCCTCCTTGATTGACTTTTGTGGGAGTGGCCATTTTGTATAACATGATCCTGCTCCTTGGCTATATTTAATTGGTACATGGATAAGCACTTGACTACATAAGCAGGTACATAATACAAACTCGATCAATCATAGTCTCTTTTTTTTCTGGTTTTGGCTGTGGCTACAGGTGTTAATATTTGCATCAGAGATTGGTGATTGACTGACTCAAGCTAGGACAGTTACAGCCTTTCCTAGAACAGGCAGATAGAAACCCAGAGAGTTGAGCTGAAGCAATGGGATATAAAAACCCGGTTGCTGTGAATAGCTGTGTTTCCTGCCACGTGGAGAGAATCAGTCTGGGTGAACAAGAATGAAACTGACAAGCAGAGCAAAACAGAGACTGCAGTAAGATGCGAGTGTTACTTAAAGCCCTGGTTACAGTTGTCCTTAAGGCTGACCTGCATCTCTGCCTTTTCCAATGTGTCATGTGATTGCTTCAAATTAAAACACCTATTATTATTATTTTGCTTATGTTGGTTTAAGTTAGGTTTCTGCACAAATCTTTACCAGTTTTTCTTTTTTGTTTTAGTTTGATTTATGTTGCTATATTAAATGCATTTATTGTATGCCCCCTGAAATCTTTATGGAGAAAAGCAAGTTATGTCTACCAATCCAGTGGGGAAACACATATACCCTATACTGTGTGAGGACTAAAGAAGAGGTGGTAAGGGTAAAATCAGCAAGGAAAGTGAAAGTTGTGCTCAATTAACAATTTTGGTGAATGAGAAATCTTCTAATGGCCATTTTTAAAGTTAGAGACCTAAAGTTTGGAAAACTGACATTGTTCTCAAGTAGCACATTCTTGGAATACTTTCACTTCGATTTAACCCATTTTGAAAGGTATCTACATAGGCTATCCAGAAACAGTCTCTTTCATATTATAGACAGTCAGTAAATGTTTATTGAATGAACCCATGTAGTGTTTCTAGCTTTGAGGATCAGGATATTTCATTTAATTTACCACAGGTAAGCTATTTAACTTTCATAGCAGTTTCTCTTGTGTGAAATGGTTATTGAACTACAGAGGATTAAATTCAAATGAAATTTCAAAATTATTTCTGAACACCTATTGTTAATATCACTATTTCCATCTTTAGCTAGTGATCATTCTTTAAGAGTCTGAAGTGAAGCACTGGTTCAGCACCTGCCTCATTAGTCAGTTGCCTTACCTTGAATCTGCCTGACCTGGAAAGGAGGCTATGATGTGATCCATACAATACCTCCTACTTTAACCTTCAGAATATCATCAGGACCTGTTGCATCTCATTTTATTTTTGAATTTTTATTTGTAACTATTTGTAAAGATATTTGATGTCTTTTATTCTTCCGAAGAACCAAGGAAATCTTTACTTATTTTTCTTTTTTGAAACAGAGTCTCAATCCATCTCCCAGGCTGGAGTGCAGTGGGCTGTCTCAGCTCACTGCAACCTCCGCCTCTAGGGTTCAAGTGAATCTCCCACTTCATCCCCTCAAGTAGCTGGGACTACAAGTGTGCGCCACCACGCTCGGCTAATTTTTAAAAAATATTTTGTAGAGACAGGGTTTCGCCTGTATAAAGCTTTATACAGGGTCCAATGGAGCTACATGGTAATTACAAGATAGGATGGTAGAAATCTTCATGAGCCTGTTTTTCCCATTTTGCTATTTCAACTTGCTAGGAATGGTTTTAGCATTGCTATTTCATTGTTCTCAACTATGCTTTTCTAAAAATATTAAAATAATAAGAAAATGGAAGAATGAAACCTCCTGGAAGGAAATAAATAAATCATCATGGTGGCATCAAGCTTTAGTTTTCTTTTTGGGTTGTGCAAAGTATTGCATTTTTAAAAAGTAGGGAATAAGAGAAGTATGGAGATACATTTTGCAGTCTTTTTAAAGACTATTAAACACAGTTGAGGATTTAAAAATTTCCATTTTCTTCCCATAATGACAAAGAAAAAGAAGTTGATAGAGGAAAGTATTATTCAATGAAACAGAAAAAGAATGCAAAGAGACAGGTATCAGCTTCCTAGGCCATAATAATGACAGTAAATTGGTCACAGAAGGGAAATCTCAGGTATGAGTCCTCAGATGACAATATTCTGGGTATAATTTTTTCTCCCATACTTAAAAATCAATGAATGAACAATTCATTTCTAAATAAATAAAGAAAATATGATATTCTCATCCAGTTAGTCATTCAACAGGAAATATTTTGCAATAAGAACTTAAACCATTCTGTTTTGCTGAAAATATGTTAAGAGTATCTTTTATTGTTTCAAATCGTTTCAAAATTTATTCCATGTGGTTTACTAGCAAATGAATTCTGAAGGCAGGTGTGTTTACAAAGGTTACTGGAAGGAAATACAAGATATAGAAATAAAAAATTAATTGAACTGATTATTTTAACTGGTGTTCATAAATCCAGAAATAAAATTTTTGGCACTTATGGAGCAAAGAAAATGGCAGTCTTCATGCTGATGGCAGTGGTGGCCTGTCTGGAGCAGCCACTGCCATGATGCCAGCTGCAGTGGAGGAGGTGCAGCTGGGGCTGCGGACTCAGGCATCCCTGTATCCTTGGGGACTGGGAGCAGGCAGGAGCCCCACCCTCCCAGGTGCTGCTGCAGCTGCCCAAGCCATGGCTGCAGACCCTGGCATCTCTGTGCTTTCAGGGTCCCAGGAAGCCCCTCTTCCCCCACAGGCTCCTGCTGCCTAGCCTCTCCCCACTCCCGGCAGCCGGTCTGATCTTGAAGCAAAGTCGGGGCCCAGCCTGGGCACTGTGGCAACCTGGCTGGGTGTGCACAAGCTCAGGGCAGTGCTGACATGCCAGTGCCCTGCTGCCTTGGCCCCCTCCAGACCTTGGGCACCAACAAACACAAGAGGGAGGCCAAAGTGGGTACTGAGGGAAGCTCTGCACTGGCCTGCAGTTGCTCCTCAGCATGAACAGTCTGGGTGCCATGAACAGCAGTAGGAGGCAGACAGGCTCCTGGGCTGAAAGGGGCGGGTCCCCAGTGGAGCTTCACCTTCAAACCAGAGAAAGCCTGAAGTCTGGGGGCCTGGCTGCCAGTCCCACAGACCAGGGTGGGAGCTGATAGTGCTTTTTCATGGGTCCACACATGGACCAATTAGCACATACTTCCTCTCCTCTGAAGTCCATAAAACCCCCGGATTCAGCCAGACTCAAAAAAGATGACAGGATGACCAGCTGCAGAGAGGAGCTACCCACTCTAGGGTCTCCTCTCTGCTGAAAGCAGAACACTCATCAGGACACCCTGGAGCTATCCACTGTGGGTCTCCTCTGAGCTGTTTTATCACTCAATAAAGCTTCTCCTTTGCCTTGCTCACCCTCCTTTGTCCATGTACCTCATTCTTCCTGCATGCAAGACAAGAACTTGGGACCCACCAAATGACAGGGTTAAAAGAGCTATAACACAGGGCTGAAACATGCCCCTTGCTGGTCACATTGTGGGCAATAAGAAATAAGAGCAGAGAGAAGGAGAGAAGAAATGCAACCCTTTGGGGAGCTCAGACCTGGGAGCTCCCCAAGCCAGGGCTGTGACACCCTCCTTGGGGCTCGGCAATTCCTGCTGTCTCCAAGCTTCTGGGCACCAGCACATTCCACAGTACCAGTCGTGGAAGCTGCTTGCAGTATGCCTGGTCCAGGTGCAGCCTTGCAGGGAGCCGACACCTGTGCTGGCTCCTGGACTTCCCTGCCCCCACAGCAGCCATCATGCCTGGCTGTGTGCAGTGACCGGACACCACACTTACTCACTCACACACCCCTCACTGCTCTGCTCACCCTTGGCAGGCATGGGATCCAGGCCAGTAGCACCAGCTGAGTGCAGCCTGCCAGGCCGAGTGGGCCCAGCAGGCCCAAGCAAAACTTAAGCAAAGGCACCACCGGCCACAGAGATTTCCGGCTGGCAAAGCAATACCCTAAGAATCCTGTGACAATGCCAACACAATTCTTGTTTGTTAAAAATTTCAAATGTGTCACATTTTGATAAGGCCAAACAGAGCAGAACCATGAATATGCTAAAACCTATTAAAGAGTTATTTGAAATCAGGAATCAATATTTACACTATGGATATGCTGCAGGCTCCTGTATGATAGGTTTGGCGATTAGTTGAATTTTAAAGACATTGTCCATTTTGGGTATAGATACCTTCAAAAGCAGGAAAAGATGGAAAATTTAAATATGCTATGCTTAAATTCTTTTTTTTTAAAATTTATTTATTATTATTATACTTTAAGTTGTAGGGTACATGTGCATAACGTGCAGGTTTGTTACATATGTATACTTGTGCCATGTTGGTGTGCTGCACCCATCAACTCGTCATTTGCATCAAGTATAACTCCCAGTGCAATCCCTCCCCCCTCCCCCCTCCCCATGATAGGCCCCGGTGTGTGATGTTCCCCTTCCCGAGTCCAAGTGATCTCATTGCTCAGTTCCCACATATCAGTGAGAACATGCGGTGTTTGGTTTTCTGTTCTTGCGATAGTTTGCTGAGAATGATGGTTTCCAGCTGCATCCATGTCCCTACAAAGGACACAAACTCATCCTTTTTTATGGCTGCATAGTATTCCATGGTGTATATGTGCCACATTTTCTTAATCCAATCTGTCACTGATGGACATTTGGGTTGATTCCAAGTCTTTGCTATTGTGAATAGTGCTGCAATAAACATACGTGTGCATGTGTCTTTATAACAGCATAATTTATAATCCTTTGGGTATATACCCAGTAATGGGATGGCTGGGTCATATGGTACATCTAGTTC